CTCTGATGGCTTTAAGAATCACCAAGGAAGAAGGCCTTAGGGCCTATGCAAAAAGGTATTATGAGGTGTTCAACCGAATACCCGAATGCAACCAAGAGGTGGCGGTCGTGTCTTTCAAGAACGGCCTGAAAGATGATTGCGTACTACGAAAGTCATTGACAAAGACATTGCCAAAAAGCATGGAGGAGCTCATGGCCAGAATTAAAAAATACACCAGAGCCGAGGAAGATACGCTAGGGATTAAGGTGACAAAGCAAGAGAAAGCAAACGGCTCGCCGAAGCGAGGCTGAAGTAACAACAGATCCAACAAACAAGAGATAGGACTAAGAACAGCATAGGCAGTCACGACTGTATTCCGAATCCCAATTCACAAAGTCCTGGATAAAATCTGAACCCAACCCTGTTTCAGAGAACCGGCAAGGGTTCCAAGAGAGTTTATGGGAAGAAGCCTTGGGAAGCATTATGCTTACCAAGGCCATTTGAGGGACCTTGTAGATGACGCCAGGACAAGGGAGAGCAAGCAAGACTTCATCAGGCACCAGCAGCTCCACCTCTTCCAGCACAGCAGCCGCAGGCAGGCGGACCTCGGGTAATTAATGTGATTCACTTGAAGGTCAACGAAAATGAAATTCGGGGGGAGACCCAGAAGGTAAAACACCTGCAGTACGTGTACTACCAGGTCAGACAGAAAAGACCTCAGGCTAAGGGGTGCCATGGACCAAAGGTGTCCTTTACTGAAGCCGACCTGGAGATGGTCCAGCATCCGTGTAACAATGCGTTGGTAGTATCCTTTCAAGTTGGGGAGTGCCAAGTAAAGCGCATCGCTCTTGTGACATCATGTATGTCAAGTGTTACAAAGAGTTTGGCCTTCACCCAGATGATATGAAGCAATCTAATGGACCGATGGTCGGGTTTAATGGAACGCCGACATGGCCACTGGGAGCAGTAAGCTTGGATGTGCAGGCTGGCACCAAGAAAATAAAGACAGAATTCACCATAATCGACACACCCTCCC